TCTATTAGGGGACATTTCAACCTGTCCATCCTTACAGCGCACGTTTTCTTGCTTGAAATTTTTTCTTTCAAAGTCCTATTTGCATAAGTGTTAATATTGAGGATGTAACAGCCTAAAGATACAAAACATGAGGTTTGCACAGAGGGAAAACATTTAATTAGACCAGCAGAAACTGACCTGAAAGCCAAAGGAGCGGATGAGTCAGGAAAAAGCTGCCCCATTCCCCCTTGTCCTTATCTTTGGGTTCAAAGCGGCGTTTTCCACCTGAAAACAGTTTTCCTTCCCCCAGCCCGGGGCTGTGCGTGGTTCCCCGTGTCTCCCCACCGGGTGGTGTCAGGTCTCGCCCGCGGGGGAAGACAGTCCAAGCCTGTGCACTCCCAGAGAGCTCTCATCATCGGAGACACTCCTGTGGATGTCATCCTAACCGAACAGCCTTCCTACCATAACACAGAGCTAAAGCTTTAGGCAAAATTGTATTTTTTTGGTGTGCTGACTGTAAGGAGTAATTATCAACGGCACACAAATGAGCTCCCAAGAGTTATAAACAGCCAGGCTCGATCATACGCAACTCACAACAAAGGCACCATCCCCGTATGACCGAGAAGGCACATTTCTTGCAGTCCCTGCCAGCGTGGTTGCAAAACTATTTTCAGCAGCTTAAATTTTTCTGATTTTTAATGCCAAATGTCTGTTTTCAGGAAAAAGTGTCTAGTAAAAAAATACATTGGTTTGCATCTGTTCAGAATTCTCAGACGCGTTAGGAAAGCTCTGTTGGCTCGGGAATGACCTGAAATTTAGCAAAGAGGGTGATTTGCAAATGACGAGGTTTTTGTTGCACCCACGAATAAACACCAGAACTCGCTGGTCATTTGTGCATCGCAGATTTCTGCAGCCAGATCTCAGCCACGCTGGGCAAGCTCCTTCACGGCGAGAGGAGGAGCGGGAGAGGACATGGACGGGGACAAAGAGGCAACGCCAGGACCTTCGCCGAGCCCAAGGCTTCCACTCGTGTGCAATCCTGACGTCCTGGCAGTCAGGCCACGCTGCGCTGGGGAGCGCCAAGGGGAGGCAGAAGCAGCCAAGCCCAGGAGCGCAGGCTGCGATCTAACGGGCAGCTTTAACCTACATCCAAATCTGGGGGGTGTGACTGTTATCTTTGTTTTCTCAGTGTGGTTGCTGTTGATTATTTTTATTTAAAAATGCGACCACTTGAAGCAGTAAATACACATTTTAGATTTATGCCTATCTCAATGGCCTACTCAAAGTAATCAAACTTGCACTCGTTACTGTGATGTTTTTTCACTAATTAGAACAAGGTTTTGTGGTCTGAAAAAACCAACGTGAAAGGCAAGATTTATCTGCCTCAGATCATTTAAACAACGCTTAAAAATTCCACAACATTTTGCAGCTTCAAAGTAGTTAAAAGTTGCTAACTAACGATTCCTTCCAGCAGTCCTGCAAGATAACCAGGTATTTTTGCTGCATTTTTACCGATGGGAAAAAGGAGACGTTGCCATCCCTGGGCCACGCGGGGAACCTGGGCGAGAGCCGGCTCCAGGCGGCTTTTGGGCTCCCAGTTCTGTCTGGTCAGGCCACGCCTCTCTTCAATGTTCAACAACAAACACAGAGCCACAGGCAGACCCCGGATAAAAACAGCATGGCAGCGTGTCAGCCGTTTCCTTTTGGGCATTACAGCTTTAAATGGTTTAACTGCCAAGAACAATCTTCATTTGTCTTGGTCCAGAACCGCACTGGTGTATTTAACAGGTATTTATCGCTCATTCACACTGTAGATTCGCCCTGCTCTAAGAGATCACACGGAGGAGGCACGAAAGCATAAAAGCGCCAATCCAGCCCCAAAGCAAGCCTTGGTGTCTCATCGTACACCTAAATGACATTTTAAAAAACCAGAACCATCTTAAAGACTCCTTCCTTGCGTAGCCAACACCCCAGCGCTGTGTGAATCAATCACAAACCGACCCTGTCACCAGCAACTGCCCCTGAATCGAGAGAACAAACTTGCCTTCCAACTTTTATCACTCGGGCACTACTTGGCAGAGAACGCAGCAGCCATGGAAGCAGTTGAGCAACTTCCAACACATTTGAAAAGCCCGTATTCCTGTATAATACAATTTATGACCAACTTAGTTATCTAATACTTAAGGTTTCATTGCAGCCAAGAAAATAATCTGTTTTGCTCAAGGAATCACATCCAGGAACCGATTTTTAGACCAAGACGCAGCAGACTGTAGTTGAACTCTGTTCTGAACATACCCAGTCACCTTGAAAGCCAAATATTTAGAATTACCAGAATGGCCAAACAAAAAGAAATGTAAAAAAAGGCATCAAATGTCTTTTCCAGGAGAAACCAACTCAAAAATCTGCAACAGACATTTAAAACGTTTCAACCCGAGATGGATTCAAGGCCTCTGAAAGTACATGGAAGAGGAAACAGAGGGTGCTGGAGAGCAAGGGGAGGAGCAGCCCCAGCAGCTGACGGCAGCGCTGGCAGCCAAGACTGCCCATCTTCCCCCAGAGCTGCTGAAAAACTTCTGTAGAGGAAGGGGAAAAAAAAAAAAGAGGGGGTGGTGGTACGCAGAGCACATCTTACCAACAAAGATAAACTGGAATATTGCTAGGATACAGGGATACCTACATCTCATTCCTCACAGGATGATGAACAATGACCACCATTCCATGAAAGGTTTAGTTTATGAGTACTCTCAGATTTATTTCCCTGTGCAACAGAGGAAAAAAAAAAGTTAGCAGCTTATTATTTATATGCACATGGCTGTAACTCCTTTCCTCCCCTTCTCTCATATTTGAGTGAAACAATTAAGTTACTGGAGCAGCACTTCCAATTCGTTAAAAAATAAGCAACATTCCTCTATTTTCTGACACCCTGCGATTCCTACAGGCTTTTTTGCCTTAACTGAACTATAGGGGCCGTGCCTGTAACAAGCAGCACCCGTCTGGCACTGAAATGCAGAAAGCCAAGGGTACGGAAGGGTGGGCTGCTTTATTCCGTTTAAAAGTCACACAGTGCAGCATCTCCCGGCTCTCACAAACCCAGTGTGCATTTTGAAGGCACGAACACACTCGGTCTCCTGCAGTGGGATTCAGTTACGCTTCAGGGAGGGATGGGACAAACGTAACAAGCCGCCGGATTGCAAGGGAAAGCGGTACAAGGTGTTACCAAAACCTGCACCAAAACCTCTCCATGCCAGCCCGAGTGCCTCTGCCCGAGGCGTCAGGCGGACGAACAGCACTGGCATTCCCCAGAGAGAAGGGCCAAGGCTGTCAATAGGCCCCGACAGCCAGGATTTAAGAGATATTTTAAAAAAAAAGCCCAGAGAAAAAATGGTTAGGTTTTAAAGTATTAACTTTATTAATAAATATACATCCATATGATGATGTAAATACAGATCATGAACACTACTCCATTCCCATACACATAATTGCACACGAGTAGCTCCAGTTCATGGACATAAAAACATACACAGTATCTAATCAGGCTTTGTACAGCAGAGGATGGGGTGCTGATACTAGTTATTTAACAGATTACTGTTTCCCCCAAAGTAAACCTGTGGAAAAGCAAATGGTGAAAGATTAAAATATCAGAAAGTGGTTCGAATTTCAGAATGCAGATTTTTCTATTTGGGGAAAAGAAAAAAAATCACAAGGAGAAAGGTCTAGTCTCTACTAAAGTCATAAATATATTTAAGCAGTGTTAAAATATAAGCATTAAAATAGAGAAGAATAAACTTTTGTGGTCAGAAATGAAGTCTGCAGTTCAAAGTATTTATGATTGTTATCAACTGTTTTAAGTCTAAAGATAGCGTGAAACATTATTATACATATAACAAAGAACAGCAGAGTCACAGCTAATGAAACCATCGGACAAATGACTTCACATTGCTCTGCCTTTTAAAGCTCTTCAAACATGGGGGAGGGAGTTAAGATTCTCATCTGAACTACTCTGCGCATTGTAGTTCCAAGTAATTCTTCTCACAGACACATCACTTTTCACTGACAAGGCTTGGTTTTGTCCTGACTGAACTCTAAGATCTTTCAGACAAAATATATTCATTCACAACAGAGATCTTTAATGGCTCTCGATACAGTTATTTCGATCGGTTTAAACTAAACCCAAGATACAAAGAACATTGCTTTAATGACAAAGCTGACTGCTGATTTTAAAAATACTATCTTTGATATCAAAGTCAGCCACTTCTGATGTTATCTGATTTTCTTCCGCCAAAATATGGTGCTAGCATCTTGAATATGTCCAGTGCAAGACTCTATAGTAGCAAAATTATTTGGTTTTAAAGTTTAAGTAAATTTCATCAGAAACTCAATAGTAGTTACTATATGTATATTAAACAGTGAACTTGTATAGCATCGTTAAGGAGTAATAGCAAGCTAATACATTTCATTTATGTATAAATAAGACGTTAGAAACTTGATAATTAAAAGAAATTATTAAAAACCCAACTTGACATGTAGATCTTCTGAACAGTGTTAACACACAACAGTGACCCTAGCTTATGAATAGCTGAATTATGATATAGAATATAAAATAAGCGATTTACCTTACAAGTAACGTTTTCATACTATGGGGGGAAAAGGCCAGTTTTCCCATTGGTACTAATAATAAAGTTTAGGCATTAACATGCTGTTTCAGTGTTTCTCATGGAAAGGAAGTGTTGAAAAAAGCACAATGTATTCTGCAGATTATACATAGGAAAAGCAGAAGTATTTGAAAATTCCATTTCTAGTTCACTTTGAATCTCTTCACTTCTTTTTCTTCCCCTCACTGCACGGCGCCAGCAAACCACGGTCAGGTATAAAACAGACCAGGATGCGGAGACGCCCAGCAGAGCACATCTGGTCTCCCTGCTCAAGCTGGAGGGCCAAGCAGCCCAGTACAGACTCTCTGAACACCCTTCTACTTTACGCTCATCATTTCACAATTGACAACGATAATCGTTTTTTACTGGGATTACATTCCATCCGATAGAATTAATCAACACTGTAATGAACAGAAATTGCTCAGATGATTTCATTATTTCATCAAACCCATTATACTAGCAGAACAGCAAGACATCTGCATCGCCTCCTGACGCACAGCGCAGCACCACTGGGCAGATGCACAAGTGAGGAACGGACCAGGAGCAAAACCAGGAGGAGGTAAGCAGTGGAGTTTCTCCAAGGTACAGTGGTGACATGCAACACGGTCCTGGCCGGTGAGGTGCGACCCTCCTGCAGCCCCTCCCTTCGGCGGAAGGGGACTGCTTTCCCAGCGGGGTTCAGGAGAGGACTCCAAGCAGTCTGTGGCTGAAAAATCATCTGATTAAACACGGCCACTACAACACAGATCCTGAGGGTGAATGAACTCACGTTAGCATTTTGTAGGTCAGAAGTTACATCCTTCTGAGAGAGACTGCTAAATTTCCGACTGGCGAGTTTGTTGAGGAACAGAAGGTGTGACTGGATTTCAGAGCTTCGGCACGGAGAAACTACCTTTTAGTAGCAGTTTAGCTGCCATTAGTTCATCTACCGACTAAGGAGCCATCCAGCATAGGTGAGGTTCATTGTCTCAGCTGCCAGTGCATACACAGTTCCCCAACACAATTCAACCCACCTATTGTAAAGTACAGCCCAAAGTCCAGCTCAATATGTGTTAGGCATCACTGGAACACCTGAAGGCTTGCTGCTTTTTTCCTGACAAAAAAGGTACGAAACATGACATCTGTTTCTTAAGTTGTCATCACTGCAATCAAGAGTTCTCATCAAAATGACAGCAGGCCAGAATAGCATTTATGTTAACAAAAAAATTATCAGCATCATTACTCATCCAGCACAGGCTCAATTAACCTGAATTTTTAAGCTTCCCCAAATCAGCAAACTCTATATAGTCCCCCTCCCCAGGCATTGAAGCCTCAAATTTATCATAATGTTGTATTATACGTGAAACGACTTAAACGTAAACTTTCTTCCATATGGAAAAAAAAAAACCCTTTCATTCCAGTAAAATAACTTTAGAACAAACAATATGCAACATTGAGGACTGACTTTTTTGAAGTCTAGAATAAAGTATTTTACACACACATGCCCACACGCTCTCACACTTAAAAAAAAAAAATTAAACACACCCAGTTGAAAAATGGAGCATTTCTTTTGGAGGGAGGGAAGGTTTTAGTACGAGTCAAGAAAGGTATTTATAGTTAACCAACAACATTTTTTTTTCAGCTTGCATGCATAGATGAATTACTTCATATCTGGGGTCTAGCAGTGCAGTAAACTGCATCCTGTTTGCATCAGCTATACAGTTTGCTTTTATAAATCATGAAAATGGTGTCCTTTGGTAGATAGATAAGCTTCCATAACTTAAATACAGTATAAGTGTCAAGACAACAAAATAACTGTATTTCCAGGAATATCTGGGAAAACTAAGTCTGAAAACTTGGCAACAGTGTCTATTTAAAAAGTTTCATTTGTAAACATTATAGATTAATACTTTAAAAGCTATTAAACTGTTGCCACCTAAGCACAGATTTTAAAGGCAAAACCCAGCGTAAATAGCTATTTACAGATGTAGGAACATACTGTTTAATATTAACCAAGTGTGTAACTAGAATGAACAGTACTTAATTCTTTATAAAATATTTCAAATTTCAAAGAATTATTTGTGGTTTGGTATTCATACTATTAGGCATTTCAAAATTACACAGCAGAACCCTGCGACAGCGTAACTAAAAGAACAACTATCACCTAAAGGCAAATTAGCTTGCATTAATAAGGCGCTGTGAAGCTGTAAAAATGCTCAGTTTTCTTTCATAGCTTCAAAAATATTTTTGGAGCATTAGCTGAAATTGACTTAACACTAAAACTCCAGAAACAAAAGCTACCTGAAATCAGTACTTTTAAAAAAAGGTTGGGTTTTTTTGTTCGTTCGTTAAGTTTTTAAGTATCTAGTTGAGGTCTGTAGAAGCTCCTGCAGGAGTGGACAATGCAGCTTGCTGCTTGCTTTGTCAATTTTTCTTATCAAGTAAGAAGTCGTCTGGCTGAGTTCCTTATGGCGGGACAGGCCACATCACGAACCAACAGGCAGCTAATTCTGTCCTCCTTATTTCAATTATTTGATGCACAACCACACCACTAGATTTACCGGAAACTGAACGTAAAACTAGGAACATGGACATTACTTAAGTATCGACACCAAGGCATAATGCATCACTTCAGACTTTCTTATAAATTAGGATTTATAACCAACAAAAAAACCCTTTAAATCAGTGCCTTCTCAACATTGCTTTAAAACTTACTGAATTGCACCCGTAGGCTATGGCATTACTTGAATAAAAATAAAACCTAGAAACTCGGACTTCGGCAAACACTACAACAAATTGCAAGAAACATGCCAAAATTCAGAGTAAAGCGGATTAGTAAGGAGTTACTAATTCCCTCCTTTCACTCGTTAGGCTGTTTGATTTTGCTGCTAGTTTCACCAGCAGCATGTACTCCTCTGTTATGCACCATAGGATAGGGAAAAGCTGCATTGCCACAAGTATAACTTAGATTTGCAAGCCGTGATAGAGCTTTAATGCTACCTGGAGGTCTGCCTGGGCTGACTTTGTATCCTGCCGCTTTAGTTGTACCCAAGGGTCTGCCTGGACTTGTCTTAAATCCAGCTGCTTTGGTGGTCCCCAGGGGTCGACCTGTGCTGGTTCGGTACCCTGCTGATTTTGTGGTCCCTGACGGCCTTCCACGTTTCCCAGATCGGTTGAGGTTTTTCTTTTTCTTTAGTTCATCTTTTGTCTCTATACTCCTGCCACTCGTGGTCTGCAAGTGCGATTCGTTCAGCGCATCTTGTCTCTGGCACGCGATGGGTTTGTGGCTCACGGCGTGGCTGTATTTGCTTTGCTGCGTGGCGTACAAGTCAAACTGATCGGCAGATCTCACGTTGTCTTCGTTAAGGCAAGAACTCTTGCCGGTCCCACAGAAAGCTGTATTGCTGCTGGCAACAGGGTGCATCATTTTCTACCAAAAATAAGAGACAAATATGTATCAATATACAATAATACTGGCGCATTCCACAAGTGAGAATCTTTCCAAAGCCATCTCTATTTCTTAAGATTAGTCCGAACTACTTTAACTATTTTTAGTAAACACTATTGATGTTAGAATATATTTCTTTTTTAAATGAGTTTTATTAAGCTTTCGCTTGAGGTTTTGCACGGTAACCTTCACACATAGTTAAAAATGACAATTTAAACTATGCGTTATTCAGATAGGTATAATTAGGGAAGAAGTACGCTAAAGAACTGAACAAGAGCATTTCAGCAACCAAGATATACAATATCCACTCACCCGCTGCGATTTCAAAACCTTTCTAACTGAATCTCATCTAAATTCTAGCCATTGTACTTGTAAGATTAACCTATCACCTGTGAGCCAAGGAAAAACATGGTATCACTCTCTCGGTTCAGTAGATAGAGGATCCTAAAGGGTTTTTTTGTTTAACTGCAGCAAATTAGTAAAACACTAATCAGTTTTGTCATTTCTTGTCATGATGTGAAAGAAAGAAAGAGGTAAGGCATTCGGCAAAGACAACCATAGCTGGGAAAGCAGAGGTGTGGAATGAGTCTACTACAAAGTACAAGACGCTAGACCGCAGAAACGCCACTGCTGTCCTAGTCAGAAGAGCAGGTACAAACTGCTGGTAATGCCAACTCCGAGATAACAGCTTGGGGAAAAACAACACAACTCCTGTTACAGATGTGCACGTTGTCACACGCCTCCTCTGGAAAACAGCCGCCGGTTTGTATGGCCTGCTCTTTTCGTTAGACAAAACCAACCCGAGCTGTGCTGTTTACAGAGGTTTACTTGTCTAAACAAGACCCAAAGCTCTATTTTCAGGATGGCAGAAGGGTGACTCTCACCTGCGTTACTGCAGGCTAACCCTGGTTCCAACGGGCAAACTGACATCCAGCTGCTGGAAGCCCCGTATGATCATCGTTGTAATTACAAGCAACTATTTCTAAATAAACTGGTTATGCTTCTATCCATCATATCAAATCCCTGCAGCATAGGTACTGGGGAAGAATCACAACAATTAACCATATTACTGGTATTCTAAAACTTTTTTAGTATTAATGCTTCTAAATACCAACTGCACAGATACTGCCTCAGGGTTCTTAACAGTGGTGATACCATAAGAAGCCAGCGAGCCACTGAAAGAGCAACATGATGATATTTTCACCCATTCAACTATACTGGTTCTGCAACTTAAATAAGCTGCAAACACCCAGTTTGAGATAATAGTATTTATCTGTGCTGAAGACAAGATTAAGCCAATCAATACCTGGCACACCAGAGTATTTCTGTGCCCTACAGTCATGCTTAGGACACCAAATATTTCTTCCTGTGGTAGATTTTTCTAGCAGATAAGGTCTGGAAGATTTATTGTCTTTTCCCCGCAGCAGCTCTGGAATATCACCTACAGCAACCCAACAATTTAAACTCTACCATTGATTACTGAATTTATTTGGCAGTTATGAACGGCTCCTCCCAGACCAGCCAGAGAGAAAGCACACAGCAGAGATGGTCTGTTTGCCCAGGAGTAAAGCCCCGTGCCCTTTCCTTCTGATTACAACGGATCCATTCCCTGCTGTAACACCCAGTTTACCTTGGCTTGTCAAACGCACATTACAGCGTATGCATTACTCTTGTGCAAATATATGAATATGGTTTTATGTCAAATAGTGAAATTATGATAGCAATATAGTTTAAATATTAGATAGTTCTAGCAGAGATTTTCTACAACTGCGGTGTGTTCAACGGGATACAGTGGAACAAACATGAAACCACTGTTACTGCAGGTGTGGACCAGCAAACGAAACAACTAAGAATAATTAGCAAGCCTGCGCTCAGCAAAGAACAAAAGTAAGCTACAGGTCAGGAGACCAGACACTTTTCTGTGCAGCAACAGAAAGGAAGCTTCAGGTTTCCTACAATTAGCAGTCAAAAAAATGTTACCTTCCTTTAACCCCACTAGAACAGGGCCCACAATAGAACAAAAAATACCTGAGATTTTTCATGAAACGTAATTGCAAATATAAGGGTTCTGATAATGTACTTTTGCTGATGAGAGAGTAAGCCCGGCGGCTCTGAAGGGCCATTCATCTGTGTGTTGATACGCTAGAGGACCCTTGGAGCGTTCGCAGCATTCTTGTCTCGGTAGTCACTTTAAATACAGCAGTTTTTTTCTGCCCCAAAAAGCCACTCCGAGCTCAACGGCCACAAAGAAGGATCAGTTCAGCTGCCCCGTATCCCAGGAACACACCAGAGCAGGGAGAAAGCACTGAATAAAGTGGAGGCCCCATGTACTCCTCAGGAGACCAACCACTGCTCAGACTTGTTTCTGTCTACATTACATTCTTATTCTCTGGTTTTCCTCGTCCTTACAGTCAGGGTTTTTTTTTCCTACAGACACCATCTATCTTTCCTGGGAAGAACCATCGCTGGAGCTCCTAGACAGTGAATATATCCTGCTGTAACTGCCACAGGTTGGAGCTTCCTCACCATGTGCATGTTTTGTGTCTACTGTAATATCCCCGAGAGCCCTCGACAAACACTAACTTTACGTGCAACCTGGCTGACACTCGCTTGCCTTCCATCTGGCAACAGCCAGTGACACTGTAATTGATAAAAGCAGACAGACGTACAAATCAGTAACTGTTAAAAATTTCTTACAAGAGGAACCGTAAAAATCTCCCACAATCTTGGTGGAAGACTGCCAACAGGGGGTTTTTTAATGCTTCTACCCCCCTGCATCGTTTTTCATCAAACCATGAAAATTTCAAGGAGTAGCCAAGGTTCATATTCTGTGGTTTTTTATTTAAGACTTTTTTTTTGAAAAGTTTTAAAAAGGAAATCTGTAATTGAGCTTAATTACCCTAACATGGACATCTCCAGCATAATTTTACTTCGTTCACATTACAGCAGGGAATAAAAGAACGTAGTGAGTCTATCTGTAGAGTGGAAACAGGTTTCTTGGCAGGGAGATACAGAGTATAAATGAGAATTAGTATAAAATGCAAAGCTATGCCAATTTAAAAATCACACTGTAGCTAAATTGAATAGCCAAACATATGCAACTTCGTGTGCAAGCATTCTTAAATTAAACCAGCCAGGAAAGTGTCCAGCAAAATAAAACTTACTTCTTTTAAACTTGTAAATGGATACATAAAAGATATTTGCAATTTAAGATATTAGTTAAATCAGTTTTCAAACCGATTCAACTGACTGGTTGAACGTTGCTGTGTAAACAACAGTTAAGGTGAGGCACCGTAGTAAGGAAATGTAGTTGTATTTCAAAAAGATTTTTACTGGGAAGTGGCTGTAGAAGGATTTTCTGCACAGATCCTTTTCTATCTGGTAATTTACTTCTATACGAAGGCTGGGAAGGGAGGAGACAACCAGATAAGCTACCTTTGGGAAAAGAGTGGCAGCCTTAGAGCTTCCCATGCAAGGAAGCACAGAAGCTCCACTGCTGCTAGAAATAAAGAAAGAGACAGGACCATCCACAAGGGACCAGCAAAGCTTTGCTGCGGGGGGGATTTCTGGACATGGTAACGATCCCTTGTTTTGAAGTGCAGCTGCACTGCCACTCTGCTGCAAAGTTAACCTGCTTTAGCACTGGCGAGGCGAGCCTGAAGGTTTGTTTTGCTCCAATGACAGCCAGGCCGCTGATCGGTCAATACACAACACATGAGCTGCCTTAAGATTTTTGTGTATTTCACAGTCAAGCTCAGTGCCGTTTGCTTTCTTCTGCTGGGAGATGAAACAGAAACCACACCATAGGCAATACAGACACAGCAGGAAACATAAGAAATTTCACCTAATTCCAGTGATATTGCAGATTTGGGGCAGACAGAGGGCGTGCATCCTAAATACAGGTTACCATACCACCAGCTGCTAAGGCTTCTGTTACTGCTATGGCCCATCTCTCTCTAGGCTTGAAGCTGCTCGGAAAATCCCCATTCATGTCTCGTTCACTACGCAAAATTTTAAGCTCAAAGCTACTCGAACCACATTACATAAAAACACCCTCTTGGGCTGTGACATGATGCTGTCTTTGGCTTTCAAACATCAGGCCTTTTGCCTTCTTCACGGGCAGAATTTAGCTGCCAGCATAGACAAGATGAAAACTTTGACAAGCAGAGAAGTACGCAAGCCCCCCGGAACAGGCGCTTGCTCATTCAATACTTTATACTGAGTATGGACCAATGACCCATTCTCTGCATTAAGCAGAATCATCAGTTCCAACATAAGCAGCAGGCAACTGCTCTGGTCGCACCCACCCAGCCTGTCTTCTGTAACTACGGCCTGGTTAACGCCAGAACAGACCTGGCTCAGCCAAGGGCTTTTAACTTCTGGTAAAATATGCTTGAATCGGAGCAAAACTGCACAACACTGCAAGTACACCTGTATTACAGCCTTTCCAATGGCAAACACCAGGAAAGGCAAACTCCCATCACCAACAGGGACAACTTTGCTTTTAATGAGGGTTATATATAAACCCCACTCATTTTTCTGAGGCTTTTCACTACTGAGCTTGCAATAGTTTCTGCAGTACTGACGGAGCTGCAGGAGGCTATAGCAGTACATTTTCATCCACATCCAACACACACAAAGTATATGACATAGTACTTAAAACCACAAGCAGCTACAAGTATTATTTCTGCACTAGTACTCTGAACGGCACTTCCACCAATGAAACCGCTGGAGCGGAGCACAGGACCGGCTCTGTTCAGGATCTCTGCATAAAGACCGCTCTATGCCACGTACGACAGCGACAGCACAGGGACTGCAGGCCCTGGGGAATACCAAAGGGCTCATTTTCTTTGCAGGGGGGAGTTTAAGCAGCAGAGATATTTTCCCTTTCAACAGAAATACGGTCTTGGTTCTGTTCTTCCCTCTTAGGATAGCTGGTGTGAAAAACACTTTAATCCCTCAGCTAAAAGAATGAATTAT